TGCCCCTAGAAGGCCCGTGTCATATCCTCGAAAGTCCTGCCCCGGTTCCAGGGATGCAGGTGGACAAAGCCAGTGAAGACAGCAGAAACAGACTCCTACATCCAATGCCACTGGAGGAAGAGCACTCCGGCCACACGCTGGAGGTCCAGGTGGGACAACCAACCACTGCCACCACAGATAGGCAGGGCCCCGGGCTGAAGAGTTCAGCCACAATAAACCAGGGAACGGGGCCTGGTCCAATTTCGAAGAAGGCCGCAAAGATGAAGATAGCCCCCCGCCAAGCAAAAATCCAAGTTAACCCTGTCATACACATCCTTGATAACCAAGAAATACTCGTGAGGATGGGACACAAAGCCAAGCCTCCAAGGCCTGACAGATGTAGGGACCTCCCCTGTCATCTCCACCAGAAACGTGCCTCGTAGGGAGGAGCAGGCTCGGGGGCTCGAAATCAGGAGTCCCATTTGGGGCATATTAAATTTGAGATTTATTTCTTTCCTTTTTTAAAATTTCTCCCATAACAGAGACACAGAATCACTCCAACCGAGTTTTCACACCCGTCTCCAGCCCCAACCCGGGTCACGGACACACGGAAGCCCTGCATGTCCAGGGAGGCCCTGTGATGTGAACCCTAGACCTCGCCCACGTGGGTCCAGTGGTGTTACTGCTGCAGCTGTGTAGCCCCAAATTTGACGTGTCCATCAGATCTCCAACTAGCCATAGCCGTAAGCAACTGACCATCGCCAAGACTAAGATTCAGCCTCTAGATGACTAGGAAAGACCACGCACAGAAAACTAAACAGAGGAGGGGCTAGCAGTTGGCGTGATGGCTATGTCACTGGACTCCCATGTAGTCAACCGCAGTTCAAGTCCCGGACCCGGTGGCTTAAACTCACGCCGGGTACGTGTGTGTGCTCCCAAGATCCCGAGAGGAGAATGGAGGAGAAGGGATTGTGGCATGTATCCCCCCCTGGGGGGTGATTTCTCGCTTTCTGTCTCTCTGCCTCTCTCTGTCTCTGGTGAGCGCACGCGCCCTATAGCAAAAACCTCTCCAAAAAATAAAAAATAAAAAGGAAAACTAAACAGAGGAAATCTACAGGTCTGGGAGAAGGGGAGCAGCAAGCCTAGCAAAGGAGATCGAGAAGGGCTAGCTCATGGAGCAGCGGTTAAGGAGCTAGACTCACACGTGGTCAGTCATAGTGGGCTTGAAACTCACACCACGCATGCGTGTGTCTAGGCCCAAAATCCCAAGAAGAGAATGGAGGAGAAGGGTGTGGCCATCCCCCTGACGGTGTTTCTCACTTTCTGTCTCTCAGGTGAGTTGTATGTGCCCTATAGCAAAAAAAAAAAAAATCTCTCCAGGGGCCAGCAGGTGGCGTGGCGGTTAGGGGTGCTGGTATCCCACATGGCCGACCATGGTTCAAGTCCCAAACCTGGTGACTTGTTTTCTCACTCCCCACCCCCCTGTCCCATCCCTCTCTTGAAACAAATGAATACATAAATAAAGTTAAGTAAAATAATTCTTTTAAAATTTTTTAAATCTCTCAAAAAAAAATAAAGATATCCAATAAATAAATAAATAAATAGATAGACAGATAAGGTTATCAGGGAAAATAAATAAATAGACAGATAAATAAATAAGGTATCAGGGAAAGACAGGCCATTGCAGAGGATGGAAAACAGAGCCCTTCGGATCTGGACACCAAAGAGGGGCTTCGGAAAGAGGGAGTGGTCAACGGTGTCACGGATCATGGATCATCGGGAAGCCCAGCAAAGCCAGGGCGGAACTGAACACTCCACATAGCAACAGGGATGTCAACGGGGTCCCGTACACAGCGACTGTACAGGCAAAAGTCAGGCTGGGCTAGTTTCAAGAGCCGGCAGAACACAGTAAGTACAGCAGGTCTTCCGGGCGCAAGAGAATCATGGACACAGGATGGCGGCTGGAGGGAGGGCCGGCCAGGAGGCTGGTCTGCAAACGTGAAGACTGACTGTGTGACTGCGGGAGGGCAGGACAGAGAGGGAGACTGACCACCTGGGCAGGGGTGAGGCTTGCCAGTGGGAAAGTCTGGGTGCAGCAGGTGGCGTGGTAGCTGGGGCGCTGGACTCCCACATGGCTGCCCAGGGTTCGAGTCCCGGACCTGGCGGCTTGCTTTCTCTCTTTCCATCTCTCTCATGACTATACCAAGTTAAACAATAATAATAATAAAGTAAATCATTCTTAAGGAGACGGAGCTCGGGAGCGCCGAGGCCGGTGGGAGGGCCGCGCAGGGACCGCAGCTGACGGTCGCAGAGCCGGGGTCCCCAGGACTGCGGCTAGGAGGGTCTTTACCCGACCTGGCTGACGCGGCTTCCGGGGGGACTGATATTTGGGGTGGCTCCGGGACCGAGCTCCGAGAGGGACGGGGAGCGGCCGAAGTACGGAGAGGGACGGGGAGCGGCCGAAGTACGGACCAGACAGCCTGGGGCAGAGGCGGCGGCTCGACTTACATCTTGTCCTTCTGGTGCTGTCGCTTCCCCATGGAGCCTCGACTGTTTCGGCGAACCACTTCCGTGTTTACGCCCCCCCACCCACACACACACCGGAAGCGGGCGCGTGGCATGCCGGGAGTTGTAGTTCCTTCGCTGACTGCGCGTGCTCAGAGGGTGGCCGGGGCTCAGTCCCTGGGTTCCTACTCTGGGCGTTCTAGTATGGGGTTGCTCACTTTTTTTTT